GCATATGCTTATGATGATAAATGTTCACTTACATTATATATATTTAGTAAGAAAGGAGGAAAAAATACTGTCCCTAAAACACTGGAAAAATTACTAACTTTTCAGCGCATTTTTATATGGATCAGTTTTCATCCCTCATTTTTTCATATATAAAAACATTATATATATGCCTGATACATTCATTTAAATCCTATGCTCACGCATATGCTTATGATGATAAATGTTCACTTACATTATATATATTTAGTAAGAAAGGAGGAAAAAATACTGTCCCTAAAACACTGGAAAAATTACTAACTTTTCAGCGCATTTTTATATGGATCAGTTTTCATCCCTCATTTTTTCATATATAAAAACATTATATATATGCCTGATACATTCATTTAAATCCTATGCTCACCTAGTTGACACAAAGGAATACATTTTAAATCTGTGAATAAATAAATGCATATGATAATAAGATTTATTTGGGTAATAATTATGCATTGTTTTGAAAATATATTTGAGTTTTTCCATGGGGGGGGGGGGGGGGGGGGTGTGTGTGTGTGTGTGTGTATTTATATTTTAGTATGTATTAATGCATAATTATTGACATTTTAATTAGTATGATCATATGAACCAATTTTAATTGCTAGATTATTAAAAATGAACAAACTCTTTAAAATGGGATCAAATGTAGGAGGACAGGGGTTTTTTCCTTTTGTTTGCTGAAAGATAAAGTATTGGAAGCTATCTCACACTGTCTTTAAAGTATATCATTGCTTAGATTTTTTTTCAATATATTTCAGCTTTCTAAAAATGTGATTCTGGTTTCTTTCTTTCTCCACTAATGCTTTTAATTAAATGCTGAGAAGTCACTACAATCTTGTTGCTTTCATAATGAAATATTCCAGTAACAGCAGAACATTTTCATATTTGAATGTATTATAAGAAATTGTACCCATAGAATTTATTAAAACATTAAGAGTGATAATGAAACAAAGAAAATGCTGTCCAACCAAAAATGGAGTTGTCACTGAGAGCTTTTAAATTCACTGTTCAGTTTAGATGATGGGAAAAGTAAGCAATGTAACTGAAACCCAAAAGTTTAACATGTGTTAAGAACCAATGCATAGCAGCTTAACAAATTGAAAATTTCAAGCATTCTTATGTATCTTTACATAAGAATTCAATTAATTTTATATATATATATGTAATTCAATTAATTGTGCATAGCAATGCCCTCCAATCTGAACTACCCAAGGTGCAAAAAAGATCTATTCTTTTGTAAATATGTTATGTAGTTTAGCCCTTATGTCCCAGTTGTTTGTTCAATATTATAGTTTATGAAAGACAACCTGAAAGCCATTATTTTTGTAGATTTCAGTTGAATTACTCCTCATTTACACCAGAGTAAAATAATGGAATTATGCTAATGTGAAATCAGCATCAGTCCCAATGTCTTTTTTCCATTATATAATATTAGTGAGAGGCCTGCTCTACAGTACAAAGGTAAGTTTATCTAAGTTACGCTTCTTAAATTAGGTAAGATACATAACTTAAGACCTTGTCTACACTGAGAGATAAGGTCAAATTTATAAAGCTTGATTTTTTTAGCACCTGGTTTTGTAAGGTCTAAAGTGCATGTTCCCACTGTGTGCAAGAATTCAATGCAGTTCAAAATAGCTCATCCCCAGTAGGGTGGCTACTGTCAACTTGGGAGCAATGCACTGTGAGCCGCTATCCCACAGTTCCTGTGCTCCTTTGCATCTTAGGTTATGCTCACAGTGCTCATGTTGTCAGTTTCCCATAAGGCACTCATCTCCCATGGTGCCCCACTGGAAAGCAATGGCAAACAGTCTTTTTGTGCTCTTTTTTTCCCATGATTACCTGCACTGAAGCCGTAACAGCATAACCATAGAAGCCATTGTAGATTCTGTTGCGCATCAAAGCATTATGGAAATTATTGTAACCCTGGGGAGCCTTATGCTAGAGTACATCCAGGATCTGCCTGAATGAGAGAGAATCGCGGGAGGTCATGAACATATTCTTTATGTGAAACACATAAACAAGTAGCCAATGCTGCTGTCATTCGATAAACACAGACTGGTGGGCCTGCAACTATGAGACTACCAGCAGTGGCTGCAGAACTTTCACATGCATAAGACCAAATTCATGGTAGTTTGCAAATCACTTTCTCCTGCCCAGAAGCACAAAAATTCCAGAATGAGATCCACTCTGACCATGTAGAAACAAGTGGCAGTTGTCCTATGGAAGCTTGTAATACCAGACACCTTACTGGTCAATTGAGAATCAATTCGGAGTGGGAAATCTACAGTGCGGGTTGTTGCAATCCAAGTAGCCAAGGCAATCAATACCCTCTGCTACAAAAGGTAGTGACTCTCGGAAATGTTGAGGACATAGTGGAGGATTTTGCAACGATGCGGTTCCCTAACTGTGGTGAGGTGAAAGATGGAACACACATCTCTATCTTGGCACCTGACCACCTTGCCAAGGAGTACATATCCGCCAGGAATATTTCTCAATGGTGTGGTTGGCGTTGGTGGATCACAAGAGCCGTTTCACAGACATCATCGTGGGATGGTTAGGAAAGGTGTATGACGCAGGCATCTTTAGGAACTCCTGCCTCTTCAGAAAGCTGCAAGCTGGAACTTTCTTTCCAGACCAGAAAATTACCATCAGAGGCACTGAAATGTCAATAGTGATCCTTGACAGTCCAGCCTATCCTTTGCTCCCATGGCTCATGAAGCTGTTCACAGGCAGCCTAGACCACAGTAAGGAGCAGTTTTACTACAGGCTGAGCAAGTGCAGCATGGTAGTGGAATGTACTTTTGGGCATTGGAAGGTAAGATTCTGCAGTCTACTGACTAGGTTAGACCTCAGCAAAAGCAACATCCCTGTTGTAGTGGCACCCTGCTGTGAGCTCCATAACATTTGTGAGAGTAAGGAGGAAAGTTATATGGCAGGGTCAAAGCATAGTGCCTAGCCAGTAATTATGAATAGCCAGACACCAGAGCAATAAGGAGGGCACAGCAAGAGGCACTGCAAATTAGGCTTTGAAAGACATTTTTATGAGTGTCCAGAATTGAGTGTCATGCATGTTGCTCTCAACAAGCTGCCCCTGCATTCAGTGTGCTTGTCTGAAAGCCATCCCCCTTCAACACAAGCAATAAAGAGACAATTGTGCAGAAATCATGTATTTTTATTTAGGGAACACAGGGACAAAAAAGGAGTTCATGTGGGAGCTTGGGAGGAGCAGTGATCACAATTGTGGGAAGGACAGCTTTTTGCTTCGAGGCGGATCCCTAGGGGGTTGAGTGTCATGCATCCCTTGACTCCCTCCACCCACATGTTCTAAGGCTCCGGGAGAGGAGACTGGAACATTGTGAGGTGAGAACGTGGTTTTGCAAGGGCTGGAGGAGGTTGCCTGTGCATGTAGCTATCCTGGAAGGTTGCCATGTGGTTCATCACATCTACCATGGTCCTCAAGAATCTCTCCTGGTTCTTGACTTCCAGATATGGCAGCAGGGCAGGGTCTCATGTGGTGCCTGTGTGTTCAGCACCCTCCATTTGCCAGGACAGTGCAACTTTCCCTTCCTGCAGGAGCATATGGGCAGAAGGGGGAAGGGCATCTAGGCATGATGGCAGTACAGGGCAGGGGCTCAAGCCATGCCTCCTTGGGAATGAGGAAATGGAGGTTTACTGCAGAAGCTTCCCCTGCTCCTTATGGGTTGCCATATGAGAGAGCAGTCTTTTCCAGATCACACATAGTGATAGGGAGCAGGTGCTGATGGATTGTGGCTGGAAATCTAGACCTTATGCTGCAATGATTTGTGCTGCAATGATTCTAGTTTACACTGCTGGCTTGGTGTGGAAAGGTATCCTACCAGGGCGGACAGAATAAGGCAGCTTCCCCAGTATCCTTGTGAGAAGTATTAAAGAGTTCTTCTATGAGAACTTTATGGAGATGTGCATGAAAGATTCCTGCTCCATCTCCAGACACTTGAACAAACTATTCCAAGGACCCTTTACTGTGTAGGCACAGTGTCCATCACAGATCACACCCAATTGCCTTAACCCATTTGTAGCATGATAACAAATGTGAGCCCACCCAAAGTGTCCTCCCCAGGATCAGTGCCCGATTGTGAGACACTCTGAGTGGAGGGCATTGTCTCCAAAGTTATAAAACTGTCGGTGATGTAAATTGCCCCACTTGCTTGCAGACCACTCTCCTCCTCAACCACACTGCCTTCCATGCTGTTGCCTGAGGTTTCCAAAGGAGTGTCTGGGAAGGAATCCATGGACTGGCTAGGAAAGCTGGTTGGGTCCCCTCGCAGGATTGCATATAGTAGCTCATAGAAGTGGCACGTTTGTGGCAGTGATCCAGACTGTCCATTTACCTCCTTTGTCTTCCGGTTAACTGTCTCAGCTCCTTTATTTTCACACAGCACTGCTGGGTGTCCCTGATGTATCCTTTCTCCTCCATGCCCTGTGCAATCCTGGCATAGATATCTGTGTTCCTTTTACTGGTTTGTAGTTCTGCCTGCACAGATTCCTTTCCCCACATATCAGTGAGTTCCAGGATCCCTTTCATGTTCCATGCTGGTCCTCATCTGTGACCCTGGGAAAACATGATGAGGTGTGCTTCCCGCTCTGTGGTCTACTCGCCACGCTGGCCACACAGGAAATTCAAATTTTCTAGGGGCTTTTCTTGTTCATATGGATAGCAGTAGAGTTGAAGGTCCTGGCCAGAGTGATCACCATGTGGGCACCTCTCAGAAGCCAAGGACTTCAACTTTCATAGTGCTGTGTTTGTATTTCCATGAAGTCGACCATGCAAGGTTGAATTTAGTGTTACTCCTTGTGAAAAGCAGAAATACCAAAATCAGCTTCAGC